CATGCTCAATTTACGCCGATAGTATCGTTAATAGATGTAATGTTCCGATTGTATTTTCGACAGTTATTGAATTTCACATGGTTTTTAAATATCCTGATATATTTCAAACATAATGGACAATTCGAATAGCACATTTGAGTATTTACTTTTTAGGGCAACGATTCTATCGATTTTTTGGCTGCTATTGTTTTCTCAATAGTTTTTAAATCTGATATTTTAACACGATATTTATTACAATCATCTTGATACACGATATTTATTACAATCTTGATACATCTTGATACACGATATTTATTACAATCATCTGATACAATCATCTTGAACACGATATTTATTACAATCATCTTACAATTAGAATCTTGAAACGAAACATGCATTCGACCAAACCCCTTTTTGCGGAGTCCGAGTGGCATGATTTCGTTGGTTACCTTTTTTTTGGCAATCACGATTTTTTTATTGTGATTATCATTTGCAAAAAGCGAAGTAGGAAATAATTAGTGCATTTTCCTTTCAACAAAATGCAAGAATATCACCCATAATATTAGCTGTGTTTTCATTACAAAAAAGAAACTTCTCACCCTTTCTCAAAAACTGGGTGAGATTTCTAAAAATTAAAAAAACACGAATAGACTTGGGAAAAAAATATTTCTTTAATTATAATACATTTTTAACATCTTCTAATTTCTAAACCATTGAATATTTTTGCTGCATCATCATATCGAAAATGTTCTACATCTACTTTTTCATCAGCTACTCTCATTAGGTTGCTCAAATGTTCATCAGTTACGATATTTTGTTTTAATTCAGTCTTGGGTGCTAAATGGCAGATGCTGAACTATTCGAAATCACTAACGAAATTTGTAGCATTATGCACACACTTTCCTATCCTCTACATCTGCCAGCATAGGCTTTTCAATTATTTCTGCTATAGAATAGTGAAGTGCGTTGAGGTTATTTCCATGTTCTTACTTCTTGTTAGGTCTTCCAGCACTGTTTTCACAGACTTCAACTTTTACACATTGTTGTAAATTGTCGATGAAGGAGTTTGGTAATTCATTAACAGCTAAAAATAGAACTTTAAACAACTTATTATAAAGGACACATCCCCCCCCTCAACACTTGACATAGATGTTTTCATGTCTTTTTCAAAATGTCGGATTTTATTAAAAATGGCGGAAGACTAAATTTTTTCCAAAATTCGAGAGACTCGTGCATTTTAAAATCGATTTATACAGCGTGCGAATTTCTCGTGTCAATAATTTTTTAATGCGAGATTCTAGCGTTCTCGCGCTGTAGTGAGAACACTGATTAGAATAAAAAATTTATATAGTTTTTGGTAGGGATGTAACGAATATTCGGCCACTATCCGGTATTCGGCCCTTTAGCCGAATACTGAAGTTATCCGGCCGAATAATGAAGTATATGCTATTATTAATTATTTAAATTTGTGAAAGCCTTATTGTTGGCATCAAGATATTTAAAATATTACAAAAAATACATCATGTTGCTAAAGTTTTTTTAAAATATAGAAAGTTTAAAAAATAAAATTTGTTAATATTTATTTCAGTTTTAATTTAAAATTTGAAAATTATTTCATTACAAAATTAAAATTTCAAAAGTGAAACTTTTTAAAAAGTTGTTAATTTTCTGAGTTTTAATAATTTTTCTGATAAAAAAGAAAGTTAAGAATAGATGTGATGAGTTCTTATCTTAAATAAAATAGCATATAAATTACAAGTATAACTATAACTAAAATATGCTATTATTAATTATTTCGATTTTAAAATTTTTTTATTATTAAAATTTTTTTAAATACACAAAGATTAAAAAAGCAATTTTGTTAATATTTATTTCATTTTTAATTTAAAATTTGAAAATTACTTTAATTACAATCAAAAGAGAAATTTTTGAAAAGTAAGTATTCGGGCTCCATCACTATTCGCTACATCGCTAGTTTTTGGTAAACATGGCGCGTTTGTTATTTTAAATGAGTAACATATATGTTTGGTATTATATAAAGTAACTTGCAGAAATATATTACTGCTAAAGTTTTGTTGCAGATAGCTTGAAAAAATTCTGTCACTAGGTTTCCTGGAATATTAAGCCGGTTTACACATAGCCTCGTAAGCATAACACGAGTGGGACACACCTGAAGTTTTCTACCCGTTTTAAGAAGCTTTTAACATTGTTTACATTCAGTCACTCATCCTCGTGACCAAATATTTGTTACATTCAGTGGTTGGAAGTAGCAAAACTACTGCAATAGCTACTTTTTTCGTAGTGTAGTGGGCTACTTTTTAAAAGCATTGTAGTGAGTAGTGCAATACGAAAAAACAGTAATTTGTAGCGATTCCTAGCAACTACTTTTAACAGTAGTTAAATAAAATAAAAACAAGCTTCAAACGGGGGAAAAAAATTTCAAATCTGATTGTTCAAATCCTTTGCAGGCACATCAATGTACACAATGAAAATGCTTCTGTGGCAGAGCGTTAATATGATCTACATCTGATACTTTGAAAAATCAGTTGAGTTGTTCCTGAGAAATCTAGTTTTAAATATCAGACATTTTTAAAATTCGATTTAACAGGAACTATAAAGCACATTTTTGTGTAAATATTTTTTACATTAATTATTTAGCATATTTGCGGTTATCCTCTCGAACTATTCAGATTGAGTCCTAGAACGTAAAGATCCTTTCACTGGATCAAAACTTATCAGGGTGCGTAGCTAAACCTTTCAACAAAAAATAAGCACCTTTTAAGCACTATGCACATTAACAAAATGCAATATAATTTTCAAAGACATTACATGAGCATGAAAAAATAACTAGAATTTGACAAACTCTTTCCTTGATTATATTAGCCATTAAAAAATGAACAAAATTGATTCTGGTTGAATGGATTGTGAAAATGTTTAATAGAAAAATATGAAAAGCAGGTTTTTACATAATATGTGGTAAAATTAGACACTTACTTTCAGAAATCTCTTTTTTGAAAAGGGAGAATTAAGAACTTTTTAAAAACACCCAATAAAAAAAAAGCACCTTTAAGCACTTTTTAAAAACGCTACGCGCCATGTTTATTCAGGGTGGTCAGTTTTTTTTTTCACATTGTATGTGTGTCTATCTTGTTTACATATTGATGCATAAATTTTGGGTACAATCATGTGTACATATATTTTAAGCAAATACATGTTTACATTTTAGTTACACACATACTTGCAAATGTAATACGTAAATATGCATATAATTTATAACTAATACATAAAATTTATAACAATCTGAATTGTATAATATAATGATACATACTGTACTTCTTATGAAGGATATAAAATAAGCATTGATCACTTAAGTCACAAAAATTTGATAATTACCTAGCATTTCTTAAATCACTGTCGAGAAAAGGCTAGGTTGAAGGTAAAAAGAACAAACTCGTAAAAGCTGCTTTAGAATAAAAAAACTTTTTCACGTAAAAATGAATTAAAACATTTTTAGTATCTCCTCACATTTAATCAAACCAATTTTTTATACAAAATCATTTTGATTATTGGTGAAAATCAAGTCTTCCAATTAAGTTTGTCTTGTAAAAGTAGCAAAGTAGAGGCTATATTTCGAAAGTAGCTTATAATTGCTACATTTAAAATAAAAGAAAAGTAGTTATAATTGTAGGTAACAACAATTGTAATGAAGTAGTTGTAGTTAACTAAAAAGGAAATGTGGTTTTTCTGACCACTGGTTACATCCCAACATAACAAGTAATATACAGGGTATCTGCTACATTTCAGATTTTCAAATCCATGACTTTCCATGACTAATTCCAAGAATTTTTCATGACTTACAGAAGTTACTATTTTCTTCAACAAAAACACAACAATAAATTTAAAAACACATTATAATAACATTGATAGAAATAATAGGTACAGTATAGAACCCGTTATCCGGAAATCAGAAAACCAAAAAACCGGAACAAAATTTGATACATTTTCCTGCCATTCTTTAAAAAAAAAGTTTTTTCCTCACAAGATTTTAGGATTTTTCTTGCGGATTAGGAAAGATGTTTACCTTAAAATCATTTTGGAAATAATCATTAGTGTATTGCTCCATCGTTTTTTCTTCTTTTTAAGATTATCTCTAAATTTTTTTTTCAGTTGGGTTTAACAATAAAAAAAACTGCTTTTTGTAGCAATTCAGAAAACCAGAAAAATCAGTTATCCGGAATAGCGATGGCTCCGATCGCTCCGGATAATCGGTTCCCTACTGTATAACCAAAACTGTTATACTCTGCATCTTCATATTAAAAGATTTTAAATTTAAAAAACAGCGTAAAGAAAGAGTTGAAGAAATAAAATAGCTGAAAAAAATACAAAAGCAAATAATTTTTTCTTCTTTTTTTCTGCAGAACTATATTCTAAAGATACTTTTCTTGGTTCATTGGGAAGAAAAGAAATACTCCTGATTTTTTTTGTTCGTATTTCGGAATAAAAAAATTTGCCAATGGCTGGCTTGCTTCAGCTAGAATTTTAAATTGATAAAACAAAAAAATAAATAAATAACAAAAATTCTGAAATCACAGAAGTTTAAAAGATAACTCATTCTAGAAATGTTTTTTTCTTTCATTTTTTAGCACTATAATTTTTAAAGAACACGATAAACAATTTTATATTTTAATAAAATATGACTGTGAGAGGGGACTTTATTACAAATTCAGATATTCGGATCCCTATGAAATTGGGGGGGGGGGTTCCATTTTAAAATTTAGATTTTTCAGCAACCTAAATCCATGATTTTTTTTAAAAAAGTTAAAATCACATTTCATGAATTTCCAGGTGTGCGGATACCCTGAATATAGAATTATAATTCATCATCAAAGGCTCGACAGCCCAGGATGGGCGTTGACCTTCCCAAATATAATTACAATGTGTCAAGCTTAAATCACTGATAGAATCAAATTTATATAAATAAGAGCAGTTTTTTTAATGTAAAATTTATCTAAGAAATTTACCTCTAACAAGACGGGAATGGTAGCATCTGTCGGGCGATCCATTATGAGAAATTTCATGTTTTTGTAGGTTATTTCGGATGGTCCAGGTCGCATTGATTTCTGCTTCATACTGGTCATTCCTTGTGTTCCCCACTTAATTTAGAAAAAGAACAATTTACAAGAAATTTTGTTCAAAAGTACTTTCTTGCTTAAAAATGTTTTTAATTTTGGACGTAATTTAACCCATATGTAGAGGCTTTGGAAGTATAGGTCTCTGATAAAAAGAGTAAAAACAATATATACACTTAATTTTTCACTAGATTTGGCAACGCTTATTTGTGCTGAGCACGGCAATATTCGTCACTTCCTACCAGCACTTCCATCAATAAGAAAGATTGATTTTGATTAGCCTGAAAAAAAAAATTTAATTTTATCAAAAACACATAGCTCAATCTTATCAACAATAACAAAAGCTATAGTGCGGCTTTCAGGAGAACTCCCCCAGACACCAGTCTGGCGGTACCATGGTTACGAGGAAAAGTCACTTCCCATAGGGTTGTGGGGGTGAATAGTTTTGTCTTGATCTTGGCATAGGTCAGTGTTTCTCAAAGTGTGGTTTGCGTACAGGAACAATTTAGCGGGGGTATGCGTTCTCATGCGAAATATCTTGCAACAAACGAAAATTTCAAAAAAGATTTTTTAAAAACAAAGCTAGACATGAAAATTTACGATTACGTATTTTTCTATCGGCTATTTTTTGCAGAGTTAACAGTTAACAATTAGCGGTGTCAACAGCCAGTTGTGATTTTCAACTTTTGTGCAATTTTTTTTAATGGTAAAAAAGACATTCAATTTTTTATTAGTGGTAAAAGTTTAGAAAGGGTACACAAAAGTCTTAAGTTTGGGAAACACTGGCATAGGCTATCGTGAATAAACCTATCGCCACCTTCATTCCTCCATTGCACCCTCATTAGAAATGGGTTCTTCCTCATTACCATAGCAACAGACAGCCACAGATTTTCTGTCTGTAGGAATTCTCCTCAAAGCTCAACAGTAAATGTTCCTTAGAGTTTAAATAAAATACACTAAACCATACAACTTTAATAAAAAATAAATACACGTTCTTAATACAATTCTGAAGAAAAGAAAAGCATAATTTTCTTATTTCCTAATGGAAAAATCCTTCTGCAGGAATTCGGGAACGTTCTGCGACAATGTCGCCACGGGGATCTTAACATTGGCAAAAGACATTTAAGAACTCTAAGTGAACATCAAGAAACTAATATAGGAAAATAAATAATCTATAAAAAAAAACTCTTATGGGTTTTAAAAACAATTTCTTGAATAAGTATATTTCTAAGAAAGTGAAATAATCTTGGACAGAGAAATATAATAAAAGTACAGAACAAAGGAAGATTTCGGCAGTGTTTTCATTATAGAAGAAAAACGGTTCCATGTTCATACTTCTTGTTAGGTCTTCCAGCATAGTTTTCCAACATACTTTTACAAATTGCTGTAAATTGTTGATGAGGGAGTTTGGTACTTCATTAACAGCTAAAAATAGAGCAAACTTTAAACAACTTATTATACAGGACTTTTTTTTCTCAACACTTGCCGTAGCTGTCTTTTTCAAAATGGCGTAAGACGAAATTTTTTTCCAAAATATGAGAGATTCCCGCATTTTAAAATTGATCAATAGAACGCGAACTTCTTGCGGTAATAATTTTTTAATGTGAGAAAAGAAAAAAATATGAGAGATTCTTGCGCTGTAGTGAAAACATTGTCTCAGCAACTTCCAGGTAATGGCCGAAAAGAAACTGAACTAAAAAAAATCACAGAAAGAGACAGAAGGTAGAAATTGTAACCAACCCTGGGCAAATGTTGACACGTTTTTATTTTTAAAAACAATTAGCAAGTTTAAAATCCATTTGACATCATAGTTATTGTAGTTGCGCGACAACTCACTTTAAAGAAATATCTCCTACAGCCAGGAGTCTGTCCAGACATTTTGCAGGGATGAGAGTAGTCAGAAAGTAAAAAAGAGGAAATCCAAGAAGGAAAGAATATATATATATANNNNACATATATATATATATATATATATATATATATATATATATAAACACACACACAAAAATTTGACGAAAAAAGTGTGATTTTTAAACTTGTAAGAAATGTGATTATAAATCCAGATGATTAATTTTAAAATTGTATGAATATGAATCCCGATATGAAGCTTTTAAATCACGTGAATATGAAACTCTATATTGAATTTTAAAAAATTGCGAAAATACAAGTCATGATGCATAATTTTTAGATCACGTAAATACGAATCAAGATGCATAATTTTTAAATCGTGTGAATACAAATCACAATGTCTAATTTTTAAAGCACGTATAATTACGAAAACCGACGTTTGATATTACAACCGCAGTAGCGAATCACGACATTGGATTTTAAGCTCGCGTGAATACGGATCACTACATAGGGTTTTTAAAACCGCGTAAATACAAATCGCTATATTGGATTTTTAAATCTCGTAAATAAGAATCGCAATGTCCGATATTTAAATCGGCTGAATAAGAATCCCAACGTTAAACTTTCAAATCCGGTAAATACGAAAATTGATGTTTGATAATAAAATCGCGATTTTAAAAATGCATAAATACAAAACACGATATTGGATTGCGTAAATAAGAATCGCAATGTGCAACTTTTAAATCAGGTAAATATGAAAATCAATGATTGATATTAAAATCGCGTGCATAAGAATCGAGATATTTATAGACTCTGGACTTGGGATTTCCAAAAGGCTTGCTTGTATTGTTTTTGTTTAGACCTAATAAATAGAAATTTTCAAGATTAATTGAATGAGCAAATAAATATTTTCACCGCAAATCCACGTCTATATTTTTTTCCCAGTTTGCTTTTACACCAGACAACAGAGTCACAACGTCAGAATTGCGAAAATACGAGCTATCCGGCGGACAAATAAAAACACGGAAAATCTTATTTTCTGTGTGTAAAAGCGGAGAAAATAGCTAAAATAAGTAAAAATACGGAAGGGTTAGCAGCTAGACATAGTTTGAATTTTCTGTTTATCTTTGAAAATCGTAAATAAATATAATTATTTTATTTCAAAGACTGAATTTTCAAAAAAAAAAAAAGCGGGATATTTATTTAAAAAAAAACGAAACTTTTAGAGAATTGAGTTTTTGATAAAAAGGCTGAAATTCGAGAGGCAAAAACGAAAAATCTCATTCCTGTATAAGGTCAACCAGTTTTATCCCAAGGAAATGAGTTTTAGAGAAACTTCAGAGGGAGGAATGAGGACTTCATTACTTTCGCTCCGAGGAAAATTAAATTCCTAATAAAATATTTTAACTTGCTCAAAAAAAACTTTTTTTCGCGGAAATTAGCAGGAAAAATCTGACAAAAAGCGGAAATCTGCAAAGCCGCGGAAGAATCACATCCCTGATTTTGTGATAGGTCCGGTTTATTGCAAAATTTTGAAAAAATTACTCGTCATTTGTGAATATAAACTAAGCGTTAGGTCACATTCTTTCAACCAGGGTCCTGTTTTTATGAATTTGTGCAAATAGGGTCCGATTATTGCAAAAAACTTTTTGAAGGAGTTTTTAAATTATAAATAGATAAAAGATTATGCTCAGCACTGTGAAATTATAATAAAAAAAATCTGATTGCAAAAATAAATGGCAATTGCTGCTTCAAAATTAGAGATGCAACATACAAATATTTGATATTTAGCCTATACTGCTGAATGCAGAATATTCATTTTGGACGAATAAAGGAAGAAACGTCTGTCAAAGACAAAACTTAATTCGTTTGCATCCGTATTTCTCCCCCCCCCTCTTCCTGAGAAGGGTTTATTCGATTAACAAAACAATAATGAAGATAAACAAATTTGTGAGGGGTCCGTTTAATAGAAAAATCATTTTCTGAAGGGTCCGTTTTTAAGTTATAATATTTTGTGAAGGGTCCGTTTTTATAAAAAGATATTTTGAGAAATAGAAATCAAGAATTGAATTGACAGAAAGAAATTTAAATTTATTAATAATTAAAAAGCAACATAGTTAAGAACTGTAAACAAGTGAGGGAAAAACTATTACAGTCACTAAGTTAGTACCCTTCTTATAGACTTGATTTGCATTGTCTTTAAAGATGCATAATGGCTGGCATATTATAAATTGTTCAAGATATCAGCGTAAAATTCAATATGGGATTGAAACAAAATTAATTAATTGAATGAACATATTATACTTTCAAAATGTTTAATGCTAACATATTAGAATATGAAAAAATGGAAAGTAACATTATCCATAATAAAATAAAATAAAAAACACTATTTAATAATAATAAACATAATAAAAAATGTATGTTTATTAATAATAAACATATGTTCCTTATTTAATAATAATAACAATGCAGACAGCTAAATAAAATGAAAACTACCTTGTACTATAACCAGAGTAGGCAAGGTTTAGGACAGAATGGATTAATCCACGGTTTAAGCCGTCCTGTCCAAAACTGTGTGAAATTATTCAAATTTAAAAAAATATTCTGAAAAATAAAAGGTTAATTTTTGTGACAAGAAACAGGCAATTTTTTGTAATCATTAAAATAGATTATTTTTAATATTGCATTTATTTATCCTTATGCAAAAACATAATTTATCAGTAATAGAAGCAATTTGTCCATATTTAAGGAATAAGGTATTCACTTTTGTTATTTAATGCATTAGGGAGCTTCAAAAGTTATAAATATTTCAATGTAATATATTATTTTCCTTTAATAAGTTAAAGCAGATTACATAAAAAGTATCGAATATTTTTTTATATATGTAATTATTACATGTACAATGGTTTTCACACATAGAATTTATACCTTATACAAATGTTGAAGGTTTTGGACACTTTAAGACAGTATAGGACAGTTTTAGTCAGTTTAAGACAGTATAACACAAGTGTCCTGTCCAAAAACCCAACCCTGACTAAAACCATTCCTACATACTCATTACGAAATTTTGATACACATGCAAGCATTCGCAAAGTAATTAAAATAACAGAAAATTTAAACTTTCAGAGAAATGAAAATTAATTTCAATCGAAAAATTTTACCAGTAGAGAGGGAACATTAAGAAAGTAGCATTCTGTTAATCAATAAAACAAAATTTGTAATTCTGCGCTCAGCTCATGAAAATCACACAAATTGACTGAAAATTTGGAATATGGGCATCAACACAATGATGTAAAACAATCCATGTAACAACCATTCATTAAAAATTAAGCAACCAATGTTATGAATGTCAACTTTCATAATAAATGCCATGACCCTGAGGAAGCCAGTGTAATTACAGGAAATGAAAAGCACTAGTTTTGATACATACAGTGAGATATTGTAAATTATGATTTTTAACCATTAAAAAGTCTTACGTCTAAGTCGATACACATTGAAGCGTCCAGCATGAAGGAAATCCAATGCAAAGAAAATTTTTGATGTATTCAGACCATTCGTCGCGACAATGGGTCAGTTCCCCGGTACGCAACTTTCGGTTCCTGCTCCAAACTGTTCTGACGGTGGCGTTCGAAAACAAACTGAAAGGAAGAGAGAAGTTTCCTGTCTTTAGCGATTTTGAGCAGAATTCAAATGTTTTAAAAAAGAAAAGAAAATTATATTAATGCAAAATATTTCTCAATGCCACACTGACAATATCTTTTGACATTTTTACAACAGAATAAAAACTTATTTAAAACATATATTTGGGAATTAAAAATTTGGTTGGTGCATTTAAAGTAGAGCGATCGAACCATATTCAGTAAGAATGGTTCCTAAGTTCGTAAAAATCATGAATTGAATTACATAATTCTTTAGAAGCTTGACTTTCTTATTGTAGTTTCATTTTCTAAAACATATGCTTAAAGTATTAATAAAAGAATCATTATTAAATGAAGGATTATGTCGTCACATGAAATTAAACGTCTAACAACCGTCAACCATAAGCTTCTCAGAAGTTGAAGAATTTGGAGCGGGCTCCAAAATCTCAATACCGTACAACAGGCCCAAATAACGTCAAAATTCTGTGCTCTCTTCCAAAACGGTTACAGGCAACTTAAATTTTTAACCGTTAATAATATTATTGGAACCTTAGGAACCGCTTGATTCGCGAACGCAACGGTGGCGAAGGGAAAGTCGCATGTAGCCCATTTCGATCGCATTTTGCGCTTATTAAATTAGAAAAATAGTTGATATTCCTTCTTATGCAAGTGACAATATAGACTATAGATCTCGAAGTAGAATTTCTTCTTTTTTAAAGAAGGATTATCCAAAACACATTGGAAAAATATTTGTAAATAAACAAGGAAAAAATTTATTTATATTCTTATAAGAGAGAAATCCTAATTTTATTTATAATGAGAGATTACAAAGACAACTGTAAGCAATACATGCAATTCTGAAGAAAAAAAGAATGAAAAGGGAAAAGCAATAACAAAATAACAGGGTAGTCCATAGAATTTAATTTGTGTCTTCTGACCACCTAAAGTGATCCAACCCAATAACGACTCAAATGAAGAGCATTCACTTCCTTATGACAAATGGCAAATTCAAACAACATCTATTGGATGCAGGTGCTTTAATTAGACAGAACTTTAATTAGAAGAAACTTGATTACGTTACAAACTATCCGGTAATCAAACAAGTTTTGTTTTTCCGCTCGGAATACTTCGTTGTTGTTGTTGTCTTATGTTACTTGTCAATAATGACAATCTTGCTTTTTAAAGCGGAGGTGCGTGCTTCTTCTTGCATTTCAGTGGCGCCATCTATGGCCAAAAATTCGACTTCTGCATCACACATGCGTTACAACCCGTTTTGAAGGGAGGACACATTCATACTCCATTCATCCGCAGATCGTAATTTTCACTTAAACCAGATCATGATCAATTTTCGATCGAGTGCTCCCAGAGGTATTAATTTGTTATGGGAACGTGGAGGTATTTGTGACCTCGGCTGATGCGCACCAGTCACCATATTGTTCACGGGAAGTTTCCGGCCGGCAGGAATCAAACTCACGACATCTTGGACATGGGCCCTACGCCTTATCAAGCCGGCTGCACCAGTCCCATAATTCGTTAGAATATGTTTTGAATGCAAAATATAAAAATAGATAAGTCCATTGAGATGATTTAATTTAAATCTAAACTGTATTATTATTATTTCAAAAACTATTTTATTTATATTATAAATGCTCATTTAGATGAATAATTTGGGAGTTGGTTCATAGAGACATTAATAAAATATTTTTAAATAATTGTGAAAAATTATTCCATCAAAAATATTTCTCATTGTGTAAACTAGTATTAGAAAATCGCTTGCTTTAAAAGAAGAAAACGATTCTTAAATTCAATATTTAACCTTTTTTAAACAGTTTAGGAAAACTTTAACTTACGCGACTGAAGCATTTTAGAATCTCTTCACAAAACTAATTTCCTAAAATATAATGGCTGCTTGTCCAAAGTTTACTTGGCCATTAAAAAAATATGCAAAATTCCTGAAAAATGATGAAATGAAGAATTTTCAAGATCAAGATGAAGAAACAGAAACCATGGCCGTTGCATGTAATGGTGGTTGGAAGGTGAGCTTGATTTTAATCAAGATTATGATAAATATGTGAGACTAACAGTGATTGTCTATTTTTTTTAGTTACATCTTTTATAGAATACATTTTAAATACTTCGTTTTCAGCATAAACTCGGGCGAGGAAGAAATTTGAATTCTTTTCCGAAACTTAAAATTATGTTCTCTCAAAACAGCGTTTTTCATATTAGCAGACATGATAATTGATATCTTTCACAATTTTAAACCGATGCAATTAAAAATATCATTAAATGTGCGGTCCCTGACCAAATTATTAGATACACTACAAGATTCTATGCAAAATCTAAATTATCAGGTGATATTACTCAGCTTTATGCGACTTTTTTATGCGACTGAAACTGGTTTGCACTTGTTTACGTTCGTGTTTAAAATATTTATTTTTTCATAATAAATATTCAGGTCCGAGAAATTTATTTTTATCAAGCGAAGATAAACTTAAAGAAAATATCTTAAGTAAGCCTAAGAAAATATCTTAGCTTACTTAGCTTGTTGAGAAGGCCAGCTTGTTGAGAAGGCCAAGGCCCATCGTGGGCTGTCATGCCAATGAGAAGAAGAAGATAAACTTCCAGCAGGAATTCAAATCTAGTAACTTAAGTATGGGGCGTCACTACCACTACAAATATTGAATACCAAATCGCTAGTATATAAGGCATGTTGACTGGATTCTAACAAGAGGTATCTTTTGATAGATGAAGGTTGACATAGTCGTTAATTAAACTCCCTCAAGTAGTTAATTAGCTCGTCTCAGCATACTCCAAACATTTTAGTTACATAAACTTTCCTTTTACATTTTTATCAAAATAATTTTTTGAAAAAAATAACAAAATTTATATTGTGTTACTGAATTATGATTTTTTAAAAAAATCCTGTTCTTTCCCTTTAGCTTTATTCAGGAGAAAAGGGCGATTTATTTTTGTCCTACTTGGCATCTGATCACTTGCTCCTGACAAAACAAGACGTGATCATGGTAAGTTATTAATTATAGCTACAAAATTCAGCCAATAGACCTCACGTGAGTTTTATTTATTTATTTATTGTGATGCAGCAAAAGTAACTACTAACCAAATTCATATATCATTTTCACAAGCAAACTTTCTTAAGTTTGATTGTTGTTATAGTTAATTTACGTCACACCAGAGCTAAACAATGAGCTATTGCCAAGGTCTTAAATTTAAGTTTCCTTAAACAGGTTATTTGAACCTTAAATCTTTCTTAACCTGCTTCTAGAAACGGGGTATTATTAGCTATGGCAATACTCGAGCAAGCCATCAGGGGAAAAGACGGGTTCCATGTCTTAACCCTTTCCCATTTTTATTTTCGTAACCGTCGTTGAACAGCCGACCCAATTTTTTTGGGGGGGTTTACGACTACTAATGTTCAACTCCGTACTTGTAATTTTGAACCCAATCCAGAAGACAAGGGGACTCCTGGATCAAGTATTGGGAGAAATTAGCCTTCGCGGAGGACATTTAGATGGAATTTACCCGCATTTCCGTTACATGGAGAGCAAGACTACGAGAACCTCCCACGTTTAGCCTGACGGTAAGGGTACTCTAACATACGATACATCTACCACTGAGGATATTTCACGTCAGCACTGTGGTCGGAGCAAGACCGACGATCTGCAAGCGAGGACGAGCAATTTACCGTAGAACAGTTTAACGAGGACCAATACCACACACCCTCGGTCCTTACGCAGACTAATCCAAGTGGTCATCCACCCTGATGCTTGACCTCGATGATATGCTGGGAACCGTGTCTTAACGATCAGTCCACAGCGGGACTCGCCAGTAATAGGAGGTGCGAGCTTCATATGAAAATGGCCCCTTATTATTATTATATGGTAATATCGTTTACGATTTATACCCGAAAGTACCTTTCTTTTGAATAAATTTGTTTGCATTGCAGGAAAGTTTCTCACTCCCCTGTTGCAAAGCGTGTCTAAAGGGTGCTGCTAGATCAGATAGCATTCTCATGTTGTGTAAACTTCAAGTAAGATATTCAATTCTTAATATTTTCCTATTTATATCTATAAATGGTGGACTGAATTTGCTTTCTAAATCCGGAAAACATTTTAGAAAACTTCCGGTGTATCCTTCCGCTTATGTTATGCTTGCGAGGCGATGTGCGAACGGGCATAAAATTCCATGAAGTTTTATTATGGTAATTTGTGATTAAATTTGAGCGTAATATTTCACTGTAATTTAAAAATTCTAACTGATGGTTGTGAGCTTAAAACAAATGTAAGAAAATTAATAAACTGCCATGTTTTTTGGTTTGCCATGTTTTGAGTGCTGTCCCTTATTTATCTATATTTCAATGAAATAGTACCGTTTGATATTGTTTGAGTTGCATCTGTCGGTAGTATCTCCCTGAATATTATTTCACTCAGTCGTACTCAGCTTATTTATTATCTGACTCCATTTAATTTCTATACTTTACAAGATTACAATAATTCTAGTAGAAAATAACTTGACAGAATGCATTAACTTTCACCATTTTCATTTAATCAACATTCGAATACAAACATCGTTGCCATTTTCTCTTTTAACAAATATACAATAATTACAGCTTAAAGAACATATAAAATAACTTTGTGACGTCAGACATATATTTACAAAAACTATCACTCTATTTTCCACAGCATCATAGCGTGTTTGCGAATATCTTTGTTGCTTGTTTAATTGAAATTTGAATTGAAAGAACGCGTTATATTGTAAACATTATTAGTATAATAACATTGGATAGCACGCTTTTTCACGTTTAGGCTTAAAAATAAAGTATAACGTATAAAAGTATAAAAATAAATTATAATAAGTAGTAACCCGGAAGTCTTAAGGCGAATTTTAACCCCTAGCGTCATTTGTGCCTAGCTTCACACAGTCAACAATCTATTATACAATCCGAATTATCTAATACAGTCAAGCCCCGCTATAGTGAACCTTCAAGTAACCGAAATTTCGGTTCGCTATAACCGGGAGTTCACTATATTCACTACTGCAAACAATTATCACTAATTTTTCCGAACTGGTCCCTTTTATTACACATTATTTAAATAAATGACCCATAAGAAGATGTACAAAATTGATTAAAAATCAATATGTAGTAACAAAAAATGCTTTAACTTTTATTTTTTATTGCTCTTCGTCTTGCGTACAAAAAATTTAGGGATGGCCTTCATTTAAGGATGGGAAATTGAGATAGAAGAAGCAAACAAGAAAAAAAAATGCTTATGGCTGCATTACACTCAATAGATGGTTTTATAAATCGGTATAAGTATTTTATGTAGAAATTTCAAAATTTTTAAAAAATGAAAAAAATCAATCGTAGACAGAAAAAAGTGCATAAATCCAATTTTCTCTCTTCTTTTGGTTCGCTATATCCACAAAAAATATTATTATGTGTGTATAACAAGGCACGGGAATGAACATTTCATTCACTATATCCAGGAGTTCACAATAAACCATGTTCACTATAACGGGGTTTGACTGTATATATGATTCAGATATTCAATTCCTATAGCACTTAAGAAGGTATTTGTAAGCACTAATGGGCTGCGCCCCCTGCTCGCTAACGCTCGCCAACCTCAGAAAATTGCTACGCAATCTTATTTGGTTTGCTTCTCAAACCAAGCTCGCTTCACTCGCTACTAACTTAGGTACATTGCAAATGCACAAAATTCTAAGAATTCAAAACAATCATTCAAATCCATATAACAACTTCTTCTTTTAAAAAAAAATTACATCTTTTTAGTAAATACTAAGTCATTAAAATAAATTTGAATTCAAATAAACGACATGTAATTCGTTAAACCTATTAGAAATGTGCTATAGTATAATTCGTGATATAAATCAAAATTCGTCATATATAAATTCGCGAAAAAAAGCGCTTTCGACAAAATACTAAAATAGAGATCTATCGACAAAGACTACTCACTTCTGCCT